GCCTCCCCGGCAGGCCCCCCCTGGGCTGCCGCCGCGGAGGGCGAGCCGGCGGGGGAGGGCATGGAGGAGGCCGCCCCAGCGCTGCCGCCCGCTGACGGCGCCGCAGCAGAGGGCCCCGCCACTGCAGAAGAGGCGGCAGAGGGCGGGCCGCGGGAGGGCCAGCCCAGCGACATGGAAGGTGAGGGCGCGCGGCTCTGGGCCAGCATGCAAACTGTGGCACCCCGCAACAAGGTCTGAGGCCGGCCGCCAGTGCGCAGTAAGCGGAGGAGCAGCGCGGGGCTGGCACGCACCCTGGCTCTCGCTCTGTGTGTGCACCGGCGACCAGGTGCTGCACCGGGCGAGCTGACGTGACTCTGCGGCTGTGTGGGATGCAGTGGAGATGGCGGCCCCTGCGGGAGCAGCAGAGGCGGAGGGCGGCGGCGCGGCGGTGGCGGGGCCCACCGCGCGCGAGGAGGGGGAGGCCTACGTCGCCGCTCTGCTGGGGCACCTGCGCGCCATCGTGCGCCAGCACGCCCACCAGGTGAGCAAAGGGGCCCCAGCGGCGCGCACCAGCATGCGCGCGCGCCCTTTGCCCGCTCTGCGCTGCACAATGATGTGCCTGCTGGCGATGCGGGGGGGGCGTGGTCGCGCGCGTGACGGCGTGGTGTGGTGTGGCGTGTGGGTGCAGCTGTGGCCGCTGGTGGTGCAGCGCAAGCTGGCGGTGCTGACGAGGGGGGACCTGCCACCCGAGGTGCGGCGAGAGATCGGACGCGGCCTCTGTTGCCTGGAAGGAGGAAGTACAGAGGACCTGCTGTGACCAGCGGGGTCAATCTTATCATAGATCAGCAGGTCCGGCTATCTTGCTACTGTTGCACCCGTAAGTGCGTGTTCGGCTATGCAATCTGATTGGCGTCGGTCTTTCCGCTTCCTCGTCGCTTCTTGTCATGATTGTGTTTACTGAGATTCCTGCGACTTGTTTTACGAGATGAAACGGGTGTTCCTCATTCTTGTGTGCGGTGGATTGCATCATTCCGCCCGAAAGTTTTGTGTGCTTACCGAAATGATCTTGCTTGGCCGACTCCTCAGCCTTGAGAATCAGCATGTACCCATTGGATTTTCGAAACATGTAATGACGTATTTCTTGTCACGATTAGCCCCGCTCAATAGTACCAGGATTCGGTCGAGAACGCTTGGTACTCTAGGAGTCGTTGTTCTTCGATGAAACCTTCCCTCGTCACCACTACGTCAAAAAGATGGAATGAGTATACAAGCCTAGTGCAATGATCCTGGAAGCCTCCTACTCTTTTTAAAACGGGCTTTGTTTCCTACTGCCAATCTCCCATAAGCAAGTTCTCGTTTGATGTAGCTTTCCCTCTGGCACCTCCCCTTGCATGATTTAATCCGCCCGTAAATCAAATGCGTGCCAAATCCAATTAACGTTACATCTTGATCCGGTCTTGGAGTTTACCAATAAATAAGAGCCTCACTAGCATCTTAAACGTCCGACCAACTCCATCATGAATATTATAGGTCCTCTTACACCTTAGCATATATATGAAACTTGAAAGGCGTCGTTGATTTTGGGGATGAGCTAGGTGCTCGTGAATGGTCCAAATTAATCGGCGTAGGATCATAATGTCTCGCAATCTTATGATAATGGTTATCTTAATATGGTCCGTTCCATACCGGTGCACAAAGTATGCCATGGTCGCGTAAAGTTCATTGACACGCCCTAGGCGCCATATGCTTGAGCCATCATGCATTGGGCATGCAAGGCCTCAATGAATTTAGAAAATGGGGCTCCGGTACGAGTCCGGTACCACATGAACTCGAGGCGGCCGGCCGCGGCTTGCTGAACCTGGATATATAATCTGGAGATCGTGTCCAGGGGTGTCCAGGGTTTATACACCTTTCGAAACATGCATGCATGACGCTCGAAAGTAAATATGTACCATACGCGATCACGCTCACGTTCTTGCATGGTAGCTAGATGGTCATATAGAAATTTTTCATGGACTGGGAGCCTGTGCCGCGTTCCGGGCCGGCCGTTGCGTACACTTGAAGCACGAGGGTGCGTTCATTTGACCTTGTGGTCGCCCAATCCTCGGGTGCGGCCGGCCGGAGGTACGGCGCGGGAGTCCGAACGGTGGGTTGAAACGACACTGAAGGCATGCACGGGGTTTGTAAAGTCGACTCCTATCATAAGGCAGTCTTGAGAGAGTTTGGACGCTTTTTCTTCGTTGTTTTGTTTCGCGCAGGTCCTTGAGTTTCTAAACCTGACGGCAAGCTTTTCCGTGGACCAATTGGACCGTTTGACACCCGTTTGGCACTTGAGGTCGAACGCAATGTGGGCCGACAACAAGAGCGGGTGGTTTGCGAGGACCGGAAAGTAAAAAAGGCCAGCGAGCTAGCTTCTGGTGAAATCAATAAAAGCCTAAGGTAAGGGTTGGATGTCGCAAATAAGAAGATACAAAAGTAGAATAAGATACAGCTGCTCGTGTCAACACGCTGCGAGAGTACTGAGGTGTCCCGAGCCTTGCATTGCTCCAAAAGAGATTGGAGATGGCAGACATGCAGGACGGAAGCCTACTAAGGACTCGGAGACTCGGGATACGGCCGAGGAGGCCAGGGAAGGCTACTCCCGAGTCGAGTCCTTATGATCGATCGAAGATGTGACGGCGGGGCTAGTTAGCACGCCGTTGGACTGAATACACTTACGGCTGTCAGTGTGCTTACACATGTGCGGAAACCATGGGCAAGCATTGCAGCCAACAGACAAGGAAGACACGCAAGAGCGCCTCTCTGTAAAACGTGTTGCTTGATGCTTCCAAGTTCTGTCTGCTGTGTTCCCACTCACGAAGAGGCTGGTCGCAGAAACTTGACTCTTTGCATACGCCTTGCGGTTGCCCAGCAAGACTTGCTAACTCCGTAGCAGAAGAGATCACAGTCGAGGAGAGCAGACAACAGCGCACCGTTGACTGACTCGAGACTGGTCACGTCTCAACCGCATAGAGAAGCCACAGCAAAGAACGCTATCTTAGCCACACACGTAGAGAACGACACGCTGTCACGATAAGCTTCACAAGTCGAGATAGAAAGCGTGGTCACGGCAACATGACGTGACGAGATTTGCATGGACAGCAAACATCTACGTGTACAGATAGGAGAAGCGGCGAACAGCTAAAGATCCTATCTTCTTATCTTACATGGTAGCGATACCTGCTTGACAAGACGACATCAGTATCCAGGGGAGACTGATCACGGATCGAATGGCTCTGCCATAAGATTCCTCCTTGCATAGACGGATAATCCGTTAAGTGCAAGCCTGATCCTAAGGGATCGCGTCAAATACGACAGAAAGTCGAGGCTTTGACAAGACGTCCTCCTTCAGAGAATTAGAATGGCGCGTCCTGCAGACGTTCCTGCCATTCAGACGACATGATACTCGGTTAGCGTAACTGTGCGAGAACGACGTTAGCCTTAACCAGAGGAATCGTCACAATGCTCTGAACTCGCTCCCCAGCGTTTGATACTTTCCTGCTGGGGGTAGGAAACAAAACA